ACTTTTATTCCTTTACTTTGATCTTTTTCTTACTTTAAATACTGGATGTCTCATAGTGGTTTTCCAACTCCCGATGATTTGGTGCTGTTTGGCCAGATTATTTATAGATATCAAGATCAAAGGTAAACTGTATTCAATTGATTTCGCTAGTTTGGAATGTGACATTAAATGAAAGTGATACGATAAATATTGAGCAGAGAATAGTTAAGAAAATTTAAAATGACAGAATCACTTTGGGATTCTTGTCTAAAATTAGAAACAGCACTAGACGTAGTTGAAAAAAAAATTACTGCTTTTAGTCAGGATTATGTTTAGTTGAGCGAATATATAGACTCGAAAATGTGATTGGTTAATTTTAAATGATGCCCAGCGTAATAATTGTGCATACGAGAAAATATCACACCAATAAGCAACCGCTAGCGAGAAAACCACCTTTCAAATATACGAATATGCATAACGCCAGCGCGTTTCTCTCTTGATCACATTCCATCGTCTGAAAATTTAGCCTATGCGAGCTACCATTCTGTAAGTTGTGTAAAATGAGCACCTTCTTTACATCAAACATTATAGAATTTATGTTGTAAAAGAATAATTTTTTTTAAGTATTGTGGTCAAATTTTTTTTTTTACAGAAATTAAAGTTATTGAGAAAACTAAATTTTCTGAAGTACTGAGCATTTTGTTAAAAATTTACTTTGATATCTACGTATGATTTATTACTTTCTTGCAAAGAGTTATATTGTTAATAAATCAATTTAATGTAAAAAAAAAAAAAAATTTTATATTTAAAGCATTGCAACTTCATTATTCAAAAGTATAATCACTTTATTTTGACATAACATCGCTCAGTTTTTAAAACCTTTTTTATGATTTTTTTTTAAGACAATTTACAAATATTTTATTGATTTATAAAACATTTCTATTATTATTATTTTTTATTTTTCATGTACAAACAATACAGGTTTATCTGATTTTGGATCACAATCGTCCTTTGAAAAATAGTATAAATTAATTGTATTTAATGATGATTAACAATTAATCTTGACTATGTAGATGCCTCACCTACATGACTCTCCAATCACATTAGTCGATAAAAATCCATTTTTAATTGTTGATTTATATTCTTTCTCGTAATTTATAAAACAGAAGCAAAACTTTTTATCAACCATTAAACATCGTCAAATAATTACTTTTGTAATGCCAAATTTTGTTTGTTTGTTTAAAAAGCTAATTTTTATTTTAATAAACAATAATTTTTTTTTTGCTGACACGACTAGCATTTCATATTACAAGATAAAAATGTGTAATAAAAATTATAATAAAGAGCTATTGAGTGATTGCAATTAAATGAGCAATTTAAACCACAAGTGTAGACAAGTTTATTGTCCCCGAAAAGGCGTTACTTCAACTAATGTGTCGTACATTTGAAAACGATCATGTGTAACAGCTATCATAAAGCAGTGGGTTTGCTTTAGTTATATGAAAGTAAGAACTTTGTTAGCATATTCATTTCCAGCTGGTTGGAAAGTTAATTGATTCACGTGTAAAAGTTAGTAATTTCCATATCATGCGTTAGTAACGAAATCCAAAAAAAATCGGTATTTTCGGGACTTAAAAGAAATTATTTCACCATCGAAGTACTCCTCAACGCAATGGGCTGTTTCTGTTATTTATGTCGTATGTAGTACTAGAAAAATTATAATCATCATAAGAAGTAGAATTTATTTGGGAAATAATTAGAAAAATCGTAAATACATTGAAATACAACTTTAGGTGGAGAAATTAGAAATGCTCGCTTGAAGTATTATTAGATCGAAACTATTTATATTTGTAATATTTTCTGCACTTTTTGGATTCGTATTGTTTAGCGCACTTCATTATAAACTATACTGTCGACTTTCATCACATCAGAGGTGCCCACAAAGGCATTCCATCGGATAACCCCTTGGTCCGATCGTAAAGGGCGATAAACAGATGATCCCCTTTCCCCTCCTAATTTACAAAGCCACGCGTTTCAGGCTATTTGCCCGTATTGTGTAACGCGCAAGAAATACAAATTCAGCTTCGTGTCCACGACTGTACCTACGTATAAATTACAAAAACAAAATAAAAATGTCAAGCCCCTTTGATGATACCACGTGTGTGTAACCAACTTTGCACAACCTTCTCGTTTTGTACAGGTACACCCGTACACACGTAACCCTCGACGCACCAGCGTACTTCCTCTTCCAGAATTGAATGGAATAAAGTACGAAAGTGTTTCACAAATGTCCTGACAAACGGTGTACACTTTTATCGTTCACTTTCAATTACACGATATAGCAACGCGAGCAAACCCGCTTGATGTTTGAGTTCCCCGTGATTTCGCGCGTTCGCCACGTATACGAGCGAGTTTCGCAATAACCTCGTCGCTGTTTTCATGCAAATTTTCTCGTGCCGATTATTCAATTTCCTTCTCTGCGTTTTGTCTTAGCACCAAATTCCTCATTAGGTGTACATACGCTTTGCCAATAATAAATCGCAGGGGGTAATTAGCGCCGAAAAAAAATTGATCATTTGCAAACTAAGACTGGGGAAAAAAAAAAACCAATCACGTTACCATTATCGGGCGTACATACATTATGCACGTATGTAATGTAAGGGAACGCACGTGCAGTGTGTGTTCCCGAGAGTAGTGCCGAAGTCGCGAGACGAGAGAAAATTATTGCGGCGCCAGGGACTGAGAGAGATAATACACGTTGTATGTGCCATATTATACACCAAGTAGCGCCATGTCCCTGCCCACGTGTTTTTAGGCTTTCGCAAGCACCGTATACAATACCTGCGTACGTAAGTACATTCATGCAATACAGTCTCGATATACCCTCCCGCTCTACGAAAAGAGAGAAACCTGATCCTTGTATATGAATTGCCAAGCGTGATTTTTCTCGCTTCGATAAACCCTGCACTGCGTATATAGATCTGCGTGTGGCCTTTTTCGAGCTTGTTGACTATACGATGCGCGCATGTGGTGTCTACGAACCTATCAAGTGCACGTCATACATAGAGGCAGAGATGCTCTAATCGAAGCGCTGCCGGGTGTAGTGTTTGATGTCTTGATTGAGGAAGATCGATCTGGCTCCATGTGTATGCCCAACACTACTGTTTGCCTGGCACCTATATGCTATCTATACCTAACAGTAGAACGGGTTATTGAAACGTGGCGACGGGCCGATGGAGAAGTAAGCGCTGATTGATGATATACGTTCGAAGTTGCACTTTTATAGGTCTACGGATGCGTTTTTTAATGCAGCAGAGGGACCGATTACTCTCGGCTGTGGATGAAGATTGTAAATATTGGTTAATCGTATCGGCTCGTCGATGTAATGGATCATGGACGACATTTATATTTGAAAATTACTATGTGCTTGTGGTACTTGTAAACAAGTGGATTCGTTGACATTAGCTGTGGAAAACAATAACACCGAGTATAGGACGATATAGCCTACGAACACGTAACTTTTGTTGATTTCGTCGTCGCGTTCAAGGTGTTGCTTGTGATTGATTGCTTATGACACATTTAAGCCCATTGCTATCGCCTACGTGGTAATCTAGAGTTTTCTTGTCGATGTTATTTTGTTGGATTGTGCTGAGGAATTTTTTTTTTCAACAGTAGAGTTAAATAGTTTCTACTATGACGTTCCACTTTAGTTCAAAAGGTTATCCTAATTTTGGTGTCTTTCATCATTTTTTCCAACAAAATTTCCTTCCATAATTATAATTATGTCAATGTTGTCTACCCACAATTAATGTGAACTTAGCCAAGTCAAAAATAATACCGCAGTTTTCCAGGTATTCATTAACAAATACTGTTGTTGATGCCTTATGCTTTTAACTTTTCAAATTTTCGTATACGTTTCATATAGCTTCTATGAAAATACTAGTTTATGAAAATTTAGCTGTAGTTTTTTATGAATAGCAATACAGTTTCTATTATTAAACAAAAGGTCAAATATATGCGTTTACTAGTTTCTTATTAGATTATTATAGCAAAAAAGCTCAAGTATATGTATGAACTCTAGATTGCATTAAGTATTGATAATCTTTTGAGAATGTTTGTACGGAAAACAGATAAATTCTATAAGGCAATCTTGTAAAAATGGATAACATTGAGTAGAGTTGGCAGGAGATGACACTATTAATCTCGTGGATGCAGAAAAGCGAGTTGCCCATTTATTTCCATTTAAATTTCAGCAATCAACACTCTAAGGAAAAGTTTTTTTGATCAGAACTTCTCACAAACGTAATAATGTATGGTTCTTATTTTTATAGTTCGATTAAAAGAACAAGCTTTGACGCAAATAACAGCTGACATTTACTATACTGTTTATTAGAACCGTTAGAAAGGAGGATTATTGTCAATGGTTTTTTTAAGCAATGTATAACAAAGCCTGGATTGGGATCTTTATTTTATAAAAATGGCAAAGTTTTACTAAGTAAGGGGTACAGAACATTGAAACTTTTATTGTGACAGAATACACACACGTATTTTGAAAAATTTTACAAAATAGAATTCTAAAAGTTGTATTTGTCGTAAGTCATAAATGGCTGTCTAAAAAGGCAAGTCAACCCAGCAGCATACTCGACGTCTACGGAGCTGCAAGGGAACCTGTCATCGTATCTTTGTAAATAGCATTTTTAAAGTTTCTTCTTATTTTCATAACTTTGTAATCAAAGTAGCTGTTGACTTGATACATAATCGTAGTTTAAACGTCCAACTGCTTTCAGCAAAACTATATTTTCAGAGAAATCAATTCCCCTCTCCCACGAGAGCCTACATTTACAATCAAAAGTACAAAGATTTAGTTTGGAATTACCCGAAAATTGTACTGTAAATCGTAGTAAACTATGTTCACTCTCGAAATTTCCAACCAATAGCGTTACGGTGACGAATCTTCCGCGCGGCTAGTAAGGGATTTCGAGAGCTATATAAGGGCATGGCCCAACCGTTGCGGTGTTCAGTGCTTTGTCTGTTGTTAAACGGTGAAGAAGTATACCAAATACGTTTTCAATCCCTCCGCACTGAAATGTTCTCTCATGAGGGTGTCATCTGTCTCGCTCTGATTGTTGTTGCCAGCTCGATCAACGGAGGTAAGATTTTCGTATTTATACTGTTCATTTGTACATGGAAAAAATCTTAGCCGCAAGTTAATAATTTGTATACGTCATCTGTTATCATTACAGCCTTTGGATTCAAGTGTTACCAATGTAGCGAAGAAGGAAACGTAAATGGAACCTGTCGAAGTTTTTCGAATCTCACCGCCACTGAATGCGATAACCAATCTTTTGAAAATAGATATAGGAAAACGTACTTTCCGAATGCCGCTGAGATACCTTTGACTGAAAAAATCACGACATGGGCGTGCATAAGTGGAGTATCAAGTAAGTTGATTATTATTTCATACAAAATCGATAAATACTAGATGTCACGTCAATTAAACGCACGTTTGTTTGTACTTTTCAGAAGTGGGAGAGAAAGAGTTCTACGTAAGATCATGCGCACCCAAGGCGCCCAAGGACATAATTTGCAAATCATTGGAGGATAATAATGACCCTCCCTTGCACTGCTGTGACGAGCCAGCTTGTAACTCATCGTTCAAAATCAACGCTGGATTATTGACTCTTGGTGCTTGTTTGATGTTTATCAATTTGTTTTGGAAGTAATAATTAACGTGAAATAAGACATTTACAGTCACAAATTGTAAATTTTTATAATTAGAGCTTCATAGTTTACATTACAGTTGACTTTATCTTTGTTTAGTCTTGGTATTATAATGAATTTTCATAAGTATTTTTTTGTTTGAATGAATTAATATTATAATCTTTTGAGTGGTATCAATAAATTTAATTAAATGTTACTTTCTCTTCTATTATTCATTTATTTACCTTGTGTTGTAGTTTACCAAAACACAGTGTCAATGGCTAGACTAAAATAGTTTATTAAAAATTCTTCATTACTTCATACTTTTGCAATATTGATAAATTAAAACTTTAATTATGCATGTAAAATATTCAGTTTATTTGTAAGATTTAAAAAAACTAATTTTTCTTAAAATATTATTTACAAAACTTATTCAAGAATAGTTTTTCTATTGTTGGAAGTGAGTTAACAAGCCCATAATGGTCATACTTTACATTTTACTAATACAGTGATACTTTGAAAATGAAAATATTTCCTATGATGATTATATATTATGTACTTACATAATTTACATCAGGAAAAAGTTTACACATTACAAAACACCACGAAATAGTTTTACAGGATACAAAATACATTTTCTCTCGGTCTTTGTTAGCAGAAGAAATCAATGTATTGACTCAATTGCGCAAAGTATCATTGATATTTAATAAATTTAATTAGAATATGAGTTAAAGTTTTTCTTTTAAAATGTAGTAAAAATGTATAAAATCGATTTAAAAAAATATTTCATGTAGTTTCACTAGCTGTATATCTCATGATTTTTAAGATGTGTAGGTAGTATGTATATACTATAAAGTTAGCCAAATATTTTCATTTGACTCGTCTGCAATCTAATAATAACCCGCGAAAAGACCACAATGTAAGATTAAAAACGAAGAAAATAATTTTAGCAGTTAACTCATTATGAGCTCATCATTTAGCTGGAATATCTCTATGTCTCTATGTCTCTATCTTTTTCACTCGTTACAAATCATAAGTGGTCTATAAAATAGTTGACCTAGATACAACGAAAAGGTGTGGAAAAAGAAAAAGGTCACTGTCAAAGTCGCAATAGCTTTTCAAAATTTAACTGTAGCTTTGAAAAACAGAGCTCAAAACCACAGGTAAATATTAAATCCAGTAATCCTTGTAATTCAAACGTATAAAAGCTTATGCTTCAAATTCCAATACCTCGATATCATGATATGACGAGAGACACTTCTGAGGTGTGAGTAAATAGAATTTGAAGTAAAATCCTATATGGTTGTATCAAAGATTATTTATTTAATTATTAAATACCGAGCGTCAAAATCTACATAAAGTGATGGGACGCATTTTTTTCCTTTTTTTTTAAAGCACATTAAATCTGCGACAGAAATCGTTCATTACGCTTTATCTCTCGTACTCTTTTTATTGGCAAGAGCTAATCAAATCCGATTTTTAGTTATTGTACACCAAAGAACCATTTAAAATACATTTATAAATTTTACAAATAAGTAAAAAATACACATAGTAACCTTTATGTATAGTATTTATTTTGTACGTTTACACACATGATATTTGTAACTTTTGTATCAGAAACATAAGAATTGCCTTTACAAACGATGCTATTCTGGAAAAAAAAAAAAACACTTGGTATGCGATTTTCTTTAACTTACATGTATATTTATGCTTTGAAATTCTTGTTTTCTATTTGGATACTTATATAATTCCTTTATTCTTTTAAGTTGCACCCATTTCTTGTTTTTATTTTTCAAGCTTTACAAACTCCGTTTAGCAGTTCAAAATTATTCACGTAGAAATGTACATTATTGTTTGAACTAAAAAAAAAATTTTGATATCTTAAGATGATTTTTAAAATTGTTTAAAACTTTTTTCTGTCAAGTTCTTTAACTTGACATAAAAAAGTAAAATCATTGTAAATTAAAAAACCTTTTTGTTCCAAAATATTAAGTTAAAGTTAATAAGTTGTGCGTAACGTTATTTAAAAGCTTCTTCTCTAAGGAAAGTAAATATTGTCATCAAAATCAGCTTTTAGTAAGGTATATCATTTGATTTTTAATGAATAAATTAAAAATTTTTTAATAAAACAACTCACCAACTTTAATAATTTTTAAATAGAAAACCTTTTTATGATTCTTATTCAAGACAATTTCAAGGAAACTACAAAAAGTATCGAAATTAAAACTAATTTTTAAAAACAAAAGAATTCAAATGAAGTAAAAAGTATGAAAAAAATTCTACTCTTCAGTAAACGTAGACACAATAGTAAGCAGATTATAGATGGTCTTTAAAATTAACTACTAAAGCTATGGCCTTTATGACTTTATAAAATCTTTTTTAACAGCCAATAATTTTGTTCAGTAACATTGGTAAGGATCATTAGAATATGCCTTTATTTTAACCCAAATGTAGTATTTCACGAGAGAAGCTTTTAATTTTTCAATTGAACAGAGAATCATAATTCATTATAGCCTGCGTAAAATTACTTTAAAATCTTAACATAACCGTATCACCCTATAACGTTCTAGAAACGACTTTGTTTCCATAACTAATAAAATATGCTTCACGCGTGTGGACATAAAACTTTCATCGTCAACATACAAGTCCATTAAAAAAGCAATAGAGATATAATTTTTCTAATTGTAACCAAATTATTAGACAAAATATTTGTTGTTATAAATATTTTAAAAGAAAATTAAGTTTTAATAAACTCCATCGCTTCAAGCTTATATAGGCGATTAAAAATAAGATTCATGAAAATTCTTTGGAGTCAAAACTTTGGCCTTTTTATTTTTTTATATGTGAGCTTGTGAATTTATTTAGCTTAAGAGAAAGAAATCTTTGTTATGATAAGTATTCATAAAGTTGGTATTCTAAAAGTCAGTTATTTTGATTCATTTAATACTGTAAATTTTTTTTAAGTACAATTAAACTTTTTATAAAAAATTATGTGATTGACTTTTCAATCCATATTAACATTTCAGTGCATATTTGATAAAAAGTACGGTGAATTTCATAGAATCGACTGTTGAAACAGTAATGGTAATTATGGAATACGTGAATACATTTGAAACTTCATTTAATTATAAAGTTACGACACTCCTGGGGTGACTTGATTTTAAAACTATTTTTAATTCAACAATACTTCCTTGAAGTGGCCAATAAATCAGTTCTGATTAAAATTTCTGAGATTCATAAAATTTTGTTTTAGGTATTATTTATTGTATAAAATAAAGTACGTTTAAAAGAGCTTAAAATGAATTTGGAATCAGATACGCGCTTTTTTTAAATTGACAAGTGAAGTGGTCTATTTGGTATAAAATTTTTTCATAAATAAACTATTTTCCGTAAGAATCCATATTAAAATGACAGTTTTTACAACATTATTATCTTTATTGTAACAAAATAATATAAAAATTCAAAGTAGAATTCATCATGACTCATTAAGTAAATAATATCATACATACAAAAATTAAGACAGAGGAAGAAGATAAATATTCCTAACAGAAGCATGTAAAAGTTATGCTGAAACTTTTGTCCAACTTGTCTTATTTGCGGCTCGAAAAGACCGCACGCGACGGTCGTACATTTCATCAACGCGTGAACAGTTAGAAATGTATAGAAATTCATACATACACACGCACACACACACATATATATCCTTTTTTCAGTACCATGATGAACTCGCGTACATGCACCACACACTTTATAAATCATTTGGGCGCTCATTGACGGAATACAAAGTGTTGACCACGTTTGCGTGCACGTCGTACACTAAAGTGGCTTCTAAACATGAAATATGACCTTTAGTTAAATTTTTTTTTCTCAAATACCAAGCCTTGTAAACGCTATTGGCGCGTTTTTGATAACTTTTGTATGATTCTTGTATGTATTCGTCGTCAAATTTTCACTTTTCCGACACTACAAGTCACAAAAAATACGGATAAAAAAATCGTAGTGAATTTTTCAGGTAAAAAAAAAAACACGTATACCTACGGATACCAATTGTACCCAGAAATAACTACGTGCGTGTGGAAATATTTGTTATATCGTGTGAAAGTACACACAAGCGATAGCTTCTTTCTTTCGCTACTCAAAAAGAGCGTAAGACGTGCGTGGGCCTTTTTCGAGGAAACTTTTTAATGAAAAGAGCGAGAGCTTTTTTTCCATGGTAAGTGAGTATAGTCATAACAATTTGTGAGTGTGAAAAAACAATTCACAGCGTGCAGTGATTGAGAATTGGCAGCAGTGCAAACAATTTGAGGGAATCTGAGAAAAAAGGGGAATCCCCTTTTTTTCACCAGGCAAAGATGCTGCACACGCTCGAATCATTTCTTGGTTGGATACTCACTCGGATTTGCATTTTTGTTATTTTGTGTTAATAAGTACATCATTGTGGTAATGATACGAAGTTCCATGAAATCAATCGACCACAGCCGCAAATATCGATCAATCGATAGTTGCACTTGACCACAAAAAAACACACCTCGAAATTGAAATGATATTTTTCATAACGCGGCCATAAATCAGTCAGCGAATCTTGATAGAACCTAAATTTTCTCCTCTTAAAACTACTCATTTATAAAGAGAAAAAATTAAAAGGAGCATCATCACCATTGATCCTTCAAAAGATAAATGCTTTATCTAACAAATTATCCACGTCCTCCATTGTTCTAACCTCTACCGTTCAACACATGGAAAGCTTCATTATACTCGTAATTTTAACTCGGATGTATATGTATACAAAAGCATCAGCGTCATCAGTATGATGCTGTATTCGCAAGTTTCACCAACTAAACGCCTGTACACGTGGCAAAATCGACCACAGGCACTACAGGCTATGTTGAAAGCTTGAGAGAGAGACACGCGCGGTAAAGACGGGCGAACGCTGATTTCATCTCTCAAAAGCGACGACGACGCAGTGGCAGCAGTGCTGGGTGTTAATGGGCTACGTCCTTGTACGACCTTACGTGTATATGTGTGTTATGTCGATGACTATTTTTGATGGCTGGGTATTTTGGTTTGGCTGTTTAGAGACCTTTTTTGGAGAACTACGTCTCAGTTATTGAGTAACCTTAGTTATGCCCTATTTTTCTACAGAGGTAAATCACGAGACTCTACAATATTGATTTTTTTCACCTGAATC